TATACTTATTAAGCAAGTTTTTAATGATGTCACATGTTTTGTAAGTCGACACGCAGCATTTTGTCGATTGAAGTCCATTGTTTGTTATGTAAGTCAAACAATAATTGTCTTGACTATTTTTAGAATCATATGTCTTTAACCAACTTGGGCCTTCCCACCAAAGATTAAATTCTACCAGTTTGGAAGGCAGGAGTCCTCGGCTTGCGCAGTCAGCGGGGTTTTCTTCAGATCTTACGTAGTTCCAATGAGTCGCAGGGGTAATATTGTTTATTTGAGCCACTCTGTTCGCTACATATTTTTCCCATCTGTTTATATCCCCTTGCAACCATGCTAGCACAACTTTGGAGTCGCTCCAGCACCTTATCTGAAGTGTTTTCTCGTCGAGTGTTTGCTTGACCTTTTCTATCAGTTTAGCGAGTAATAATGCTCCACATAGCTCCATCTTCGGTAGAGTTATCCTTTTGTTGAGCGGCGCAACTTTAGTTTTTGCAGTTACTAGCGTGGTGACGTACTCGTCGTTCAGATTTCGGACGCGGCTGTAAATTACACACGCATATGCCTTTTCACTGGCATCGCAGAATCCGTGTATCTCAATACCGGTGCCATGGCACTGAAGCCACCTTGGCATTGCTATTTGGCTTAACAAAGGGATGTCTTTCCTCAGTGTTTCCCACTCGTTGATTAGTTCGTCGCATAGGGGTTCGTCCCAGGTGATTTTGCTTATCCAGATCTTTTGAAATAATAATTTTGTTTTTATAATAAACGGTGATAGGAAGCCAAGCGGGTCGTACAACTTGCTTATTTCACTAAGCAATGTTCGCTTCGTAAGGTTTTTCTTTTCAGATAAGTTCCAGCTGTACGTGAAACAGTCACTAGATTGGTTCCACCTCATACCCAACATCTTTGTTGTTTGGTTTGTCGTTTGTTCCGGGCTGAAGTTGATATTAGCGTCGCTGCTTTTTTGATCATTTCGTAGGTCTTCTAAGATTGCCGTTTCGTTACTTTTCCACTTGCGTAAGTTAAAACCTCCTTTATTGAGTAATTCGATAAGCTGGCTTATTAGTTTTTTCGATGCTTCAATTGTGTCTTTTCCATAGACCAAATCATCCATGTAGAAGGAGCTTTTGAGAACTTTTGACGCCTCGGGATAGGTACATTGTTCGTCTTGCGCAAGCTTATGCAGAGTACGCATTGCAAGATAGGGTGCACATTTCATTCCATACGTTACGGTGCGCAATTTCCACTCTTGCAGCGGTTCTTTTGGGTGAGATCTCCAAATTATAGTTTGCAGATGTTGCTGTTCTGCGTTAAGCCAGATGAAACGGTAGAGTTTCTCTACATCTGCTGTGAAGACATATCTGTAAGTTCTCCAACAGGTGAGAAGGGTAAACATATCTTTTTGTAGGTTGGGGCCGCAGTACATGTTATCGTTGAGGCTGCTGCTATTTTTTGTTTTGTACGACGCGTTGAAAACGACTCTTAACTTTGTCGTGGTTGACTCTGCCCTTAGTACGCCGTGATGAGGTAGATAGACTCTAGGTTTATTTTCCGCTGTTATAGGTTTCATGTGACCCATAGTGATATATTCTTCCATAAAGCGCTTGTACTCGTGTTGTAGTTTTTTATTTATTAGCATTTTTCTTTCGAGTTGCAGGAATTGAGCTATTGCTTGGGACTTTGTATCGATAAGGTTAGCTTCATAGTTGGGCTTCATGGGCATTTGCACGACATATTGCCCATTCTTCCTTCGCAAAGTGGTGGCGTTGTAGTACTCTTCGCAGTGCTCTTCTTCGCTAGTTACAGGTAGAGTGTCGCCACATTCTTCCGTTTCCCAAAACCTTGCCATGTCTTCCAAGTTGTTAAGCGTTACAAAGCAGTTAAACGTTTTTACGTTTCCGCAAAGAATCCAACCTACTTTGGTTTGTTGCGCTACGGGGTAGTTGTTATCACTTCTCATTATTCCGTTTAGTATAAGTTCTGAGTAAGTGTCAGCCCCTAAGAGTAGATCGATCGGACCGGAAATATTGAAGTGAGGGTCCGCCAACCTTAAGTTTTCGAGATAACTCCAATTTGTAATTGAAAAGGATGTTATGGGCAAGTTGTTTGTAAGTTTTTTCATGATAAGTGTTTCCAATTTGAAGCAATAATCAGAGTGGATTGATTTGCATTCTAGGGTCATTGATCCCTTGCAGTTACCGCTTAGCGAGCCGATACCTGATACCACAGCGCTCAGTTTTCTTCGCGGTAGTCTAAGTCGCTGCGCTGCGTTTTATGTGATAAGACTGACTTGTGAGCCTTGATCAAGTAAACCTCGTAATTGAATATAGTTTCCATCTACAGTTTTGACTTTCAATTGTACAGTCGTCAGAAGTACTTCCCTTTCTTCGCTAGTTACATTGTTGACCGCCTGAGATGACGGTGCTGCTAGCGTGCTCGTAGTTATGGTGTTAGCATGATGATAACTAGGTTGCTGCGTTTCATCATAATGTAAAAGTGTATGATGTGGTTTACGGCAAACTCTGCACCTTTTGCGGGAGAAACATTGCTTTTCGCCGTGACTGTACAAACAATTTCTGCAGACTTGCATCTTGCGAACAGTGTCGTCACGTTCCTTTGCATTCATAGCAACAAATTTGTCACATTTCATTAAAACGTGATCCGTTTTGCATATCGGGCAAGTTTTTGCTGTTGCGAAAAAAACTTTAGGCGGAGTTATGGGCTTGTTATGGTACATTGACCTCCGAGTATTGTATTTATAATTGTTTCGATCTTCTCCTTTGTGGTATGATTGCTTGATTGTCCTCCACGGTTTATGGGAAAACGACATCTTGGAGCTGCTTCCTTGACATGCTTCTAATGCCATGAATTTAACTTCAAGAAACTCGGTAAACTCTTCGAGGTCCGGGAAACCTCGAGGATCCTTTAGATCCCTCATGTAATCGCTGTGAGTTGCACTATCAAGTTTTTGGGATATTAGATGTGCAACTAGTGGGCCCCAGTTAGTGATATCCTGCCCTATGTTCTTGAGTCCATTCAAGCATTCCAGCATGACGTCATGTAGTTTTCTGATGTTTGTGGCGCTTGCTTCTTGAATAGGGGGCTGGTTTATCAACGTATTCGTGTATGTTATAAATAGAAGCCGGTTGTTGTCGTAGCGATGCGTAAGTAATTCCCAGCAAGACGTATAATTTTCGGCACTGATGCCGAGATGTTGAACTAACTTTTCTGCCTCGCCCTTGAGCTTAGTTTTCAGGTGCTGCATTTTTTGGGCCTTGGAAAGGGCCGGGTTGTTATGTACACTCTCGAGGAAGAGGTCTTTGAAAGTTAGCCATTGGGTGTAGTCTCCGGAGAATTCCGGAATCGCAATTTTCGGCGTGGACTTCTCATAGTGAGCATTGTTCCAAATTTTTTGTTGCAAGTTTTTCCGAATATTATCGTAAAGGTGTTCCGCCGCATCATATTTTTGTTTATAGATGGAGTCTTCGTCTTGCAAAATGTAGTCTAGTTCCCAGTTCGCCTTTTCGATCTGTTCCCACTTAGTTTTCAGCAGGTTTAGGTTATCTTCTAGCTCCCATTTATCCGCGGATGCGGCTAAGTCAATCTTTTCCACAGTTCGTTCAAACGCTTTAAAGTTGCAGTATTGTTTACGTAATAAATCCTGTTGCTTCTCCGGCGTCTCAGTAGTTTCGCGTGGAGGTACATGAAATTTGATGTCATCGAAACTGAATACAGCGGAGCTTTTACCTTGTTTTGTTGAAGCGGACGGTGACATTTCCGTCTTGCTTGGAGTTGAAGTGGGTAATTCCGCCTTTCTTTTCAATATGTCTTGCAACACATCTTCATACATCTTTTTAGTGCAGCTGTAAACATCGTCTTTAAAGTATTGAAGGTCGCTTGCCTCAAACTCTTCTAGAAGTTGATGATTGTACACGAACTTCTCCCATGTCGTGTTCAGGCGAGAAAGACGCTCCTCCAGATACTCTGCATTCTTTCTGGTGGGGCTGTCCTTCTTGTAGTTAATGCAAATCTGCTTTAAGTTGTTGAAAGTTAGTTCTTGACGGCTGATAAGTTCTTGGACGCTCTGAGTCATCTTGTTTGCTAGTTCTTGCCTTGGATATGGTAGTGTCGCACTTCCGTAGGCAGTTCGATAGAATCACGAAGTTTTGTGATTGTTATTTCGGACACACAGTGGATACGCACTCTACTGCGATATATGCGCCTTCTCAATCTGACCGGGGCGACCCGCTTCTGGGAGACCGGCTAGACCGATTCGCTATCGACAACTAGAGACACGCTTCACACTATGAATCCGGCTCGAAGGACCACTTCTTGATGTATGGACCCAGGCGTCGTTAATTTGTTTGAGTTGACAAATACCACAGATTTCCCGTTTAATAGTTTATTGTGTATGTTACACTAGTTATGTGAGGTGCTAATCGTGAGTATCGTTATAATCAACTAAATACAAAAATTACAATATTCATTAAATCGACTCGCGAATGTAGGTCGCGCGACGTTAGCAAAATAAATGCCTGTACGGAAACCGTACATAGGGTATAAAATTAGGAATCTAACTTGCGTCTTCTACTTGTTATATACAAGAAGAAGAATTATTCAATTCAGTTCGTATCAAGCAATCAAAACCATCGTGAGTTCTCATTACTCGTGTTAGCACTCACTCTCACACAGTTCACTCAATCCGTTTTACATTGGTTTATTATTTCACGGTACAAATTATTATCCTCAACTCTTGATTTTCATTTAAATCGAGTTAAGTGTATTTAGCCTATCAAGAGAGCTAATTTTCGTTAAGAACTGATTTTTCAATGGTTACATAAAAGCTATCTGGGGAATAATTATGATACTGTCACGTCAGAATGTTTGTATAAGACAGTGACAGCAACAATTTTATTCCTCAGATAACATTTAGGTATCTGACTATTGAAAAATCAGCCCTAAATCAAGTAAACGGCTGAATAATGTTCTTTTAATTTAAACAGACGCAGAATTAGAAATAAAGGACCATGATCCTGATCTCCACTTCCCGGATGAGGATCGCATCGTCGTGGTGCTGAGCCAGCATCAAATGCAGAACTTAGGTGCGTATGATCATTTACGACTAATTAGTTATTGTGTTTAACGGCTTTTTAATATTTCACGAGGAACTCGACTGATTTCAAGACATACTAGGAACTCATATTCTAAAGCGAAAGTCATCGAATTTCAGCTCATAGCGTATCTCCAAAATTATAACACGAAAATATTTGAAAACCATATTTTAATTTGTTGAAATTGTAAAATTTTACTGCACAGTCGGCGAAGGAGATTGGCAATAGGCTGCTGCGACACGTGTCGCAGGTTCGACCACGAAATAACTCTTCCTTATTCACAGATTGTGGTTCCGAATCTGGGTTTCTTGTGTATTTTATATGCAGTCTTAACACAGAAAATTGTTTTCATGGATTTAGGTTTAAAGAAAAAGTACTAGAAATAGCCGCACCATTCAAGTCTTACAAAAAAGCCTCTGGCTAGATTTTTGAGTGCAAATACTTTAAATAAGAGTTTCATTATAAACCTCATCTCTGTATGAAGTGTCATGTGCAGTCACAGTTTACAATTAAGGATGTTGACTTAGAAAATCATCAGTACAATAAAATAAGTTTTGGTTTATCCTTATTAACGTAACATTAATTTCATCCTTAATAAAAGAATATCATAACGTATCTAGCCAATGAAATGTGTGTTTTTTTTTGACTTTGTTGGGTAGGAAACCTTAAAGGAAGCGATGATGACGTATGCGTTAGTGTCTTAATTAAATACGCCCATAACTCCCTATTTGAGCGTCTTTATTTCTCTTTTAATAAAGGTCAAATTGATTTATCACGTAACTTAGGCTACCTGCCGCCCCCAACAGAAAATTACTGTCGTAAACTTGTAACTTCGTCCTCTTTCACGATCGGCTGAATATTCTTACGTTATGAAAATGTTCAAGGGTTTTTGATTCTCTTTTATATCATATTGTCAAAGGTTTTTTCACAAAGGCCGGTGAAAAAATCGATTTGTTCTGCCTCCTTAGATTTTTCATTTCTCGTTTTTATTATTTGTTTGAATTTTTATGTCCAATACTTAATTGAAGGACGTCGTTATTATCGCAACATCACGCCTGTGTTTTTCTTAGGGTTAGGGACAGTGAAGAATCCAATTTGGTTGATTATGATCCTAATTACATGGTGTGATGCTAAATTTGGTAGCAGAAAATGCTGTAATACGACTAATCATGTAATAAAAATTGAAGTATTATAAAGTGCTAAAGCTAATTTTATTTGTGTCGTAAGTAAAGATAAAATTATCCATTCAAAAATCCTATACTTACCTAGTAACTTTTCCAATGTAATAATTCAAGTTGACCCTACTTTGTGTAGCTAAGTATATGTATAGTATGATTATCTTGGATTATGTCGTATTTGTCCTCATATATGATATACACCAATTTGTTGTCCTTATAATGAAAGGAAATAAAATTAGGTATATTCTCAACTTTAAGTTTTATACACAACCTACACATACCATTCTGTAACAATTTTTCTATCATAAAATGATCAACTAAATTCCTTATTACAAAAATATAACTTACTTGTAGTGGAATAGAGATGTTTTTTCTTTACACTTGGATCTCGTATCAATCATTTTTATGATACCCTATGTATTACACTGCTTGTTTCTATATACAATCTTAGATAGCCAATAAACCAGTATATAGGTAGGTACTATTCGAGCAATATGGCTTCTTTGAACTACGCAAAAACGTACAAAATTGGTTCTGAGCGAATAGACGACCACACTATTTTTTAAATCTTTGATTTACGCTTGAAATACAAGAATGGGTGTTTGATATTTATCTGTAATGTATTTGTTTTACTGATTTGTAAGTGCGACTGATATTAAACTTTAGTCCAATGAGACAGATTAAAGTCGAAGTTTGTTTTGGTATGTTTGACCACTTTTTTCACCATTTAGGTGTCTCATGTCATGATAACTCGCCATAAATTAAACAACAACATTTGTAAATTATTGCTAAATATCAATTTAAAAACTTCCATCATGAGAGATCACACTCAGACTCGCATCGCGCTTACTTTTAAGACTATCCTTGGCATGCTTTTGATGGTCAACAGAGGAGTTACGAGTGCGTTGCCAACATTTTGGGGATTTATTGAGATTTAGGGACAGGGTAGGGAATGGGCCTCCAATAAAAAATATGCTAAACTAGCTTCGCCCGCGGGGTATGTTGATAAAAAGTAGCCTATATCCTATTCCGGAGTGTATCCTATGCCTGTGACAAATTTCATCTAGATCCGTCTAGCCGTTTTGGCGTGATTGAGTAACAAACATCCAAACATCGTAACTTTCGCATTTATAATATTAGTAAGATTAACCATATTTTTTCAGATTTCTCACCAAGTTCGTGACCGGAGGACAGTTCTAACCCGTCTTCGATGTGGTCCTCAGCGCCAAGAGTAAGGCCTGTAGTCCTTCCTTTCCTAGTCGCGTTATTGTGCCAAAGTGTATAAACATATGGACTGCCTTACATACATAAGTAAAAATAAAAATAATGCAAATACGAAATTGTGTTCAACAATTTAAATACACTCTTTGTAATATAAGAGCTTATTAGTTATTGTAAGGTTTGGAAGCTGATTCTATTTAATTTTTGTATAGGCCAGTCAATCGCCAAGATTGTTATGATTACGTCAAGCAAATAGATCTGTTATATTTACTATGCATTTTTTTTAATTTTTCTGTTTTTTCAGTCAATGGAATCACAATGAACCTTTCTGAACTGTACCAACATTTTTGATAAAGACAGGCTTCATATTAAAACATAGAAAATATCGCCAATAAACATAAGTAATTTGTGTTTCAATAAAATGTAAAGAATATAAATAATGCTTTTCTCGATTTTCATATTTTATATCCAATGTAAATAAATAAAATAAGTAAATACATAAGTAGGTAGGTAGGTACTGTTAATCATCGAAAAATTCAATCGTGTATTATGTGTTTGTATTAAATGAGGGAACGAATTATTAATTTAAGTTTCTCAATTTGAAATATTCATTATTCGCAAATGTTTTATTAAATACATAAGTGGTTTTTGTAAGACCCCTGTCACGCGAACGGTTTTTTTGCAATTGTAAATCTTATTTTTACTTAACGTACCTAATTATAATGAAACTTGTAAAAAAACATTATTTTTGCACCTCTGTCTAGAGGGTCTAGTGCGGATTTAAAGTCATGTTTTGTATTTGAGAATATAATTTTTTTTTTATATAAGTGGGATCGTAACAGTATACCAGTGTTATCCACTCAAAAACAGATAATAAACTCTTTTATTATAACGCACTTGATTCTGAGCAGCGAATGATAATCAAAAGAGCCAGCCAGAGAACATCACACATCACATTGTCAGCCTATAAGTGCCTACTGTTGAGCAAAGGCGTCTTCTTCACATATGGAGAAGATTTGAGGTTTCATCACCACGCTTGCTCAAGGAGGGCTGGCAACAGAGCACTATAAGACGATAGAGGGAGAGTGTCTGTGTGTGATTGAGGTCTTTTAATATTTGTTATGTCAACATTTTGAAGTTTTTCAACACTAGAATGAATGACAAATGAAAAACTTTTTTCATTTAGGTACAAAACATTTCAATCGATTTCAGTGTGAAAGCTCAAAAATATAAAATGGTGTTGGAAAATTGATTAAAAGTTGATTTAAAAAATATGTCATCAATTTTATTCTGCAACATTAATTACGTCAACCTATTATGTCACTTATACAATATGTACCTAAAACCTTTGTTATTATGTTTATAATACAATCCAATAAATAGACAATATAAGAGATCGTTTGAGTTTTATTGTTTCATTCGATTGTGTGGGTAATCGTATTGCGAACATCTGTCGAAATCGTAGCAATATTGGATTTGGAATTAAGAAAAAGACAGCACGAGTCTTTCTCTTTCAATTGCTAGTATAATAGCGAAATGCCAATGCGGATGGATTATTTACCTATATCCCACCCTCTGTCGTTGATACGTATATCAAATTATTATATGTTTATTTTTTTGTGTGATTGGACTGTAAACCAGCTCTGATGGTAAGCAATCTCACCTCCTAGGGAAACTCACAACACCAGAGGAAAAGAGCCGCCGGCGCCTTTTGGAGAATAGCTTGTCAGACATAAGAGATTTGGAAACTTAGATAATTATAATAATAGATATAATTAGAACGAGAGAAGATCCGGATTAGACTCCGGTCGTAACGCAAGCATTGTTCACTCTGGTTTTCTGTGACGCTTTAGTATCACAGACCAATTCGAGTCGAAGTATATGGCTCTTCCATTTTTCACTTTACAGCCAAGTTGCGTCAAGATCGATTCTCTAATTGAGAACAGTAATAGCAGCCTTGGATACTTGGCGGCAGCGATCTCTCGCGTCCGGCCTTAGCCGAGGCCATGGTGTACAGCGAAAGGAACTGGGGAGCCGTCTCCTCTTTCTGCAAAGAAGGAGACAGTGCACGCGAGGGACCTATCCTCCTCACGCCCCAGCCGCCGCAGTTGGTGACACAACGGGCCTTGAGGATCGAATGACGATCTACGGCGTAAGTGTAGGCACAAATTTCTCAAAGATATTTATTACCTTGGAAGTCCCTTGCGTTCTACGCAATTAAAAAGAAGTAATAGATCATCAATCAAAGTTATTGTTTCAGAAATTATATTTGACAGAAGAAATTGTACCGAACTCTTCAGTTGTCGACAGCTAAAATATCTTATTATACTGTTAAGCTAATACATCAACAGCCAGGATTCCGGGGCAAGTCACCGCGGCCTCGGCCTAGAGCAGGACAAGGAACGGGGGCGTTTTAAGTCAGAATCTAACACTCCCTCCCGGCCAATCCTGGGCGGGAGCAGTCATTAGATGATTGTCCCCTCACAAAAAGAGGTATACGTCAATGTCAAATCAATAATTCCTATATTTGTGCATACATGGTAATGTTGAAAGTCAAACAAAGATTTAAATATTAAAAGTGTGATGCATGGTGGTCACAGTGGTTGATGAACGAATGCTTTACTGTACTACTAAAGCTATTTCTTCGTTCCAAAGTATCTGTAGGTTTCGATCGCAATATGCGAGCAAGAAACTCCTTAGTTTTTTTTTATTTTTATGTGTTGCCGGCAAACAAGCAGATGCTTGTTAAGATACAGATAGTAAGCAATCAGCGCTGCCCAAGGTAACCCAAACATGGAAATAGGGCAACAACACCAAAGGAGTCACAAGTGTGTTGCCGGCTTTTTGGGGATAAGTGTTTCGGATATTTAAGGATTGAGAAATGATGGGGTATGGGTAGGGATTGGGCCTCCGGTAACCTCACATGGCGAAATACAACTGCGTGGTTGTTTCACTTGTGGAGATAAGTATTTCGGATATTTAAGTACGATTCCATCAATCTCTACCAAATTTGCTCGGTATCTTTTTAAATGTAATAAAACCTCAAATACTGATAAGTTTACAAACTCGATGTTATTATATTCTTATATTAATATTATTTCAGTATCAGATGTCCCAGTGAATTAAATTTCTGAAATATTTTTAATATCCGCTCACTCATACATATTTTCCTCAACTTCTATTATTTACTTTACGAAATATGATTTTATTGGAATGCCTTACGAATGCGAATTACTAAGTTTTAGGTAGGAGCATAATTCAGGTTTCTTCTATACTTAAGAAGATTGTTTATATTTAAATTTCTTCCACTTTTTCTTCTGTACAATAAGAATAAAACAATAAAATAAAAAAGTTTTCTGAAAGAAGTCGCCTTGTGCAATAAGACCGCTCTTTGTACTCAACAAAAAATCTTCTAGTGTATCTACTTTGTTTGTTTTAAATAAAGAATAATAAAAAGCAGCAATAAAATATGCAATACAGTTAGGTGGTGGAATTAGAAGAAAATCTTTATACACAAAAACAACAAAATAAAAATTGCTGAAACAATTAAAACAAAAACGCGAGGTAGCAGCATGTGTATCTGCCAAAAAAGTTGCTATCAAAGTCAAAGTCAAAGTCAAAATCATTTATTCCAATTAAACCATCAATAGGTACTTTTGAAACGTCAAAATAGAAAAGTAGTCTGTCAGTCTGTTCGTCAGTGAAGCTAGGTGCTCATTCCAAATTGTAGATTCGAATGGAGAAGAACGAGCAAGAAACTCCATTCGTTACTCTTTTTTAAAAAAAAAATTGTTTTACAATTTCAATAATATAACATTTATAGTATACATTAGTGTACCCTTATGTGAGAACAATGCAGAGACAAGTTGTTAAAAAAAAGAACAAATGAGGGGACCTATCATAAAATTTTACTCCTTTGTCGTCTCGAGCATGGCGCTCACATATGCGTACTCACAATATTTAAGAGTGCTTCTATATAAACTTTTTGGATATATAAATTAAGGATGCATTATTTTTGAGAATTTTACCTAACTGCTGACTATATTTGAGTATTGTCCAGTGGAGCCGAACCAACACGCTGCCAGGCATTCTTATCCTCAATATAATCTGAAAGTTTGTAGTATGCCTGTCTACACAATTCACGTTTAATATAAGTTTTAAATTTTCGTTCGTTAAGATTCAATACAGTACTTGGAATTTTATTGTAACAATTTACACAGAACCCCATAAAGGATTTCTGTACCTTGGACAGACGGAATCGTGGCACAGCCAGCCTATCTTTGCCTCTTGTATTAAAATTATGTCTATCGCTTCTTTTTTCAAATAATTGCAAATTTTTCCTTACATACATAATATTTTCATATATAAACTGACAAGGCACCGTCAGGATATTTATCGTTTTAAATAGTTCTCTCAGAGATTCGCGACGGGGCAAGTTATATATCGCTCGGATAGCCCGCTTTTGTAGAATAAATATTGATTCTACTTCCGCAGCTCGACCCCACAGCAAAATTCCGTATGACATAATGCTGTGAAAATAGCTAAAATAGACAAGCCTTGCTGTGTTCACGTCTGTGAGCTGTCTTATCTGTCTAACTGCAAAAACAGCAGAGCTTAGTCTCCCCGAAAGCGTCTTTATGTGGGAACCCCATTGAAGTCTATTGTCTAGTGTGATACCTAGAAACACTGTCTCGTTGACAAATTCTAACTTTTGCCCATTTAAAATTATGCTACAATCATTACTGTGTACGTTGGGCAAGCTAAATTTAATACATTTTGTTTTTTTCTCGTTAAGTGCTAAATTATTGACTGTAAACCAATTATGAACTTGATGAATGGAGCTGTTTACTTCGTCAAAATTATTAGAACGTCGACCTATTTTAAAAATTAATGATGTATCATCAGCAAACAGCACCATACTTGGCTCGGTTTTAAATAGAAATGGCAAGTCATTAACATACACTAAAAAGAGAAACGGACCCAATATTGAACCCTGTGGAACGCCCATTCTTATCTCAGAGCCCTGTGAGTTATAACCACCTACATGAAGCTATTTTATTTTAATATTCTTTGGACTACCTAAGTTAGTAAATAAGTATTAAACATTGCTTAGTTATGTAGATACGTGGGTAAAGAAATAACAGAAGCGAAGTCTCATAAAAATTTTGAATTGTTGTAAATACTTATAACACTCAAATGTATTATTGAAAGTATAATGGAATCGTTTTCAAACCTAATCACCATATTATATTGATATGACCTCGCAATATTGCACCGTTGAGGCATAGAGCTGCCACTCCACACATCCAATATCCCATACAAGAAACGCTCGCCACGATAAATATGCTATATCGATGCAAACTCAACTGTCTGCGGAACGGGCAAGTTTTAAATTGCCTTGTTTCAAAGCTTTTGACGAGTTTATGTACCGATATGCGAGCTTGTCGGTTGTCGGAAAAGTCAGTGGCTTTTCAGTTTTAAACTGTGTTAGCCCAAAAATAAAAACAAGTGCGGATCGGTCACGTTTGTTCTCTAAAAATCTGATTGATGAAATATTCTTTTATTTTGCAAAAAAAAAATTACATCATCTTTCCAAATTTCAACTGTTTTTCTATCACGTTTTTTTTTGTGAGGAGAAAATCATCAAATGACATCAGCCGTCCAGGGCTGGGCGGCATGGAGTGTCAGAATCTTACTGACTAAAAACCCCCCTGTTCCTTCTCCTGCTCTGGGCCGAGGTCTTCTATCATGGTTTGAGACGCAGTTTCATGTCACACACAAAACAGATGGACGGATAGTCAGCGTACCTAATCTTAGTTAGAGGGTTCCCGTTTACCCCTTTCAGTACGAAACTCTACGCAAATAGCTTCACTTAAAGGACTAACCGACAGACTGACACTTCTTATCTTTGAGCTTTGTTTAATGTTCAAAAGTGCCTGTCAGGGTCTAATTGAAATTAATTTATTTGACTTATGGCTTTTTGAGCCCAACAAATGACCTTTAAGTGTTTTATGTGATACAGCGGCAAATAAGCAGGTGGGTTACCTGATGGTAAGTAATCGGTGATGCCCATGGATACTTGCTACACCAGAGGAGGGCGTTGAGAAGTTGCGTTCGAGTGCCTTGCTGGCCTTTTGAGGATTAGGAGTTTAGAGATTTAAGGATTGTCGAGTGATGAGGGAGGAAAAATATTCGGCCTTGGATAACCTCACTCAAACAGTATCACAGCGATATGGCTGTTTCTAAGCATGTAAGTAATAATAAGAAAAATATTTATAATTACTCATTTGTGCTATCTATCCTTTGGTACGAGCACCTAGCTTCACTGACGAACTGAGTGACAGACTATATTATGCTATTTTAACGTTTCAAATGTACCTGTCGATAGTTTAGTAGAAATAAATGATTTTGACTTGATTTTGACTAATGACTCATGACTCATCGTGTTAGTAGCAACATCTAATACTTATCTACATAAAATACTAGAATACTAAGTGACAAAAAATAAGTGCTAGCATCTTTACTGGGCATTTCGTAGCTAGAACCAAATCTGAACAGTTGAATCGAAATCCAATTTGGCATAGGCTCACTCCCTATTGCAATCCAAGTAATAACGTTACTGACGAAAACTCCATGTACAAATGCCAAACGTACTGCAATCTGTTAAAATTAAAAGTGAACTAACTGAACTGGAGAACTCTGTAGATACGGACTCAAAAAGAATAATAATATTTCTTTTTTTGTAATAATATACATATTGTTACGTCTTGCACAAAAAAGTCCACATGGGACACCTGGGTATTAGTAGTACGCAGTATTAATACTATGGGAATTCTCTGCTAAGGAAGGTTGGACACCTTTGGATCGTAGTAGAGTAGGAGTCGTGTAGAGGTATCTAATCTAGTGGTCGGTACACAAAGCAAACATATCTCATCTAGAGTAATTATAAGAAAACTATAGATATGCATACATACTTTTGTAGCATGTTTAAAACGAAAATTAAGCAACATAACATCAGTTTTATTTCCAGTCAAGTTCCTAAAGATTTACCTACTTTCTTACAGAGTAATTTTATGGGTAAAAAAACAAAGTTTTTTTTTTCATTTTGCTCACCATTTAAACCTTTTCCTGGACTTTCATAAATATCAAGAGACCAAAATTAACAATTTCGGTCTAGCCGTTTCCGAGTTAAAGCGAGACTAACTAACAGCAATACATATATGTACTTCTTGTATACATCGATCTTCTTCTTAAAATTGCTTCGAAAAGTGGACGATCAAATATCTTCGCGTCGCATCTCATTGTAAACTTAACCTTAGGTACTAGTAAATATGAAAGCTGAAAATATAACATCATTCGCTCTTTTATGATTGCGTTTAATTATATTTAATGAGACTGGCAAACGAGACTACGAAGGATTCTAATGAAATATGTTATAAACGTCGGTATTTTTAGTGGATTACCTTACACGAAATTAAATTATTTTCTTTATTAAGTATATTTAATCAAAGTTGTAAATTGTGGTAGAAAAGTTGGTTTAGTTTTTTCACAAGAAAATATAACCTCTTGCAACTAGAATGTATATAATATTATTAATGTAGTATTATGACTAGTACGTACCTCGACTAATCACTTCATACGTTTAGGTATTTAATTTTTTTAAATCATACTGCGCGTTTTTATTTTGACACTATTAAGGTACTTCAGAAGGCTCATTATATCGGACAAAATACGTCTATGCCCTGATTACTGATTACTACTACCTATCAGAAAGTGTCGCGGATAAATCCCGCAAGCTTCATACCATTTTAAGTATAAACAATGCATTTATTCCCAATAAATACATTTCCTGTTTTCTAATTCCCCGTTTATTTTTATTTCATTTTATCTAAAAAGTATCTGTAAAAGATAATTGCTAGAAAGTACGAACCGCTATTAGTAGGTACAATACAAAAATAAAACCAAAAACATTTCGATTTTTATCTGTGCTCCTTGATTGTTACTGGCTGCATAAAAAAAGTTTATAGCAAACAGGTTGAATACGGACATATTTATTAATATTGATATTTTCTATTCAAACAATGGCCGTTTTTCCGCCGTCCGGAAAATAACAAAAGCTTTTTTTTATATCTATCGTTGTTCTCCTGATTTGTATTCCCCTCCACACAGATTGGAAATTAAAAACGTAAATGTACACTAATATATATCGCTACCCCTGATCTGAAACCCTCATTCCTTTTTCATTAGGTAAATTTTATTACACTTTTTTTTTATTTGTAAATTAAAACATTTTCTGGAAAAACACTTTTTTCAGTCGTTTATTTAGTTTATAGTATAAAATATACAATTATTTATGTGGACTGGTTACGTAACTAGCTTACATCTAAATAAATACATTCGAATTCAGAATGAAATGACGCCATCTTGTGCGCTTTAAGTCTTCTCTCAGTGTTACCGGTTACTGCCAATTTTCCGATAACATTCTTGTGGTAGAAAGTTTGTAATTTCATTCTGACTATCTTTGGTTCAAGGTTGATTTTCGTTTAGCAGTAGTTAAGGATTACATCAGTGGTGCACGGTTTGAGGCAACACTCGTCGACCAGGCCGTCTCTCTTGTATCGTGACCAGTTGGCACTCAACGATCCTCGACGGCCGCTCCACGGCCAATCAATTTCATTCATTTTTTCGCCAGGCATGAAATCTGCAACTGTGATTAGTTATCGATATGTTATAACTGTTGTTAGAAATTGGGTAAGTATTTGTTGAGCCTACCCAGCTCTAATATAAGTGCTATTTTTAGACAAATAAAATATGATGTGACAAAAGTCTTTTTTTAAATAAGACCTTTGTTTGTTTTACCTAAGCATGGTATTAACTTATTAGTCGTCAATCCATAATATTACTACGAGTATCTAATATAAAAATACTTATTTTTTATCGACAACTTGCTGTTTCTAAATGCGTTACCTAGTTGCTTATTAAGCTTCTTTTACTATTCGTTAAGACTTCGACCCATATGGCGATCAAAGAAGCTGACTCGTAGAGTCAAGCTTAAAATCTTCCGATCTAACGTCAAGTCCGTCTTACTCTATGGGTGCGAAACGTGGAAGGTAACAAAGGATATCACTCACTTAATCCAGGTCTTCGTCAACCGCTGCCTTCGGCAGATACTTGGCATTTTCTGGCCAGAGAAGATCTCGAACGAACGCTTGTGGGAGGCGTGCCGGGAAATGCCAATAGATAAGCAAATTACACGCCGAAAGTGGTCATGGATAGGGCACACCCTCAGGAGAGGTCCCACACACATACCAAGACAAGCTCTAGAGTGGTCACCACAAGGCAGGCGAAAAGTTGGCCGTCCTAAGCAAACGTGGCGGCGCACAGTGGCGGCGGAAATAAGGAGGATAGGACTGTCCTGGTCCGAAATTAAGCACATAGCCCAAGATAGGCCCAAGTGGAAAAATACTGTGGAAGCCCTCTGCCCCACCTAGGGGATATAGGAACTTAATAATAACTATTCGTTAAGAAGTTATGATAAATCTTGAAAACTGTCACAAAGAAACGTGACGATGAATATTCTTTCATCATGATGTTTAGTTGAATAAACATGGCTGGCCAAAAATTACAAAGTACAATGCGGTCAAATAATAATAAAAGAAGAGGACGGAGAATTTAAAAAATACCTATTTTAAAATTAGAATCTACTAATACAGTCACGTGACCATCATTACTTTTGTAAGAATAATTCAAATCATATTTAGATTAATGCGATATCTTATATAAATACTATAGCTACTCTCGTACGGTTTCACCCGCTGCTCGGCTTCTACAGATCATAGGGTGATTGTATATAGCCTACAGCCTTTTTCGATAAATGCACTAACAAACACGAGAAAAAATTATCTTTGCATTCAAACCAGTAGTTCCGGAGATTAGCGAGTTCAAACAAACAAACAGCTTTTTAATATTTCAATGATTAAAATAAATGTTAAAGTACATAACTTTAGATTAATATTTTTTTTCTAAAATTATAAAGAGATACGTTGGTCTAGATAGCTATGTAAACAAAAATATTGGTATGTAGTATGTAGAAGAAAAGCAATGATTCCGATGAATACAAACTTGAAGTTATTCTCGTCCTCTTGTTGACGTATTCCTTTCCATAGCACAGGAGTACTCTAGCATTAGCCAGTTGCCTGCCACACAAGATGACGGGGGTCTGGTCAGCTGCCACATACGCCAGAGCCAAAAGACAGGAAACCAGGATAAGCTTCATGTTTAACTAGGAAATAAAAATGAACATTTTATGCGGCTTTTGTTTATAACCAGTTGACACACCTAATAAGTAAATGGTTGTTTTATTTTTCATTAAAAAAAATAATTATTTTTATTTTGATGTAATAGGAGGCAAACGAGCAGACACCGCCAATCGGCTACGCGACGTCGCCGCGACGCGCACGCTGTTCATGAATAAGAGTCCCGCTGTGACTTGAAACTGGTAGAGCTTTTAGTATATTCATCCAAGAGTGCTAGGGTCGTTCCTTCGTAGGCGGGGGCCAAACGCTTAACTTAGGTACGGTTTAGAATATTGTTTTTTATTGTATGAGAAAGTTTTATTAATAATCAATGCCGTATGTCTCAAGTTCATAGATACAATTAAAAAACCAAAGACATAGCGATGGTTTTAACGCGACTATCATTATTATACTTCAATACTTATTGATAGTCCATCGTTACAATTGATTAATATCTACGTTACTCAGACACATTTAATGATTACTTAAACTATTCCTTATCAAGTAGTTACTTAATTATAAAATTGTTACGAAAACATTGGGTTTATTTTATATATTTAAGTTATATCATGAAATATTCTGTAATAGAAAATTATTCAAACAAATTTAAATAAGGCTAAGCTTTGAAACATACATCAATATTAGACTGAATGTTTATTAATAAAATAGTAATCTATTTTGGTCTTTAAACATTTAATATTAAAACTTAATTTAGTGTAGGTATATTATTTACCAATGAAAATTTACTTACCGTTTAAGCTGTGGTGTGGTTTTAGGGAAAGTGTATGGATGTATGTAAATTCACTGAAAATTCGTCTTATATACTCTACTATTGGAAACTTAGGTCGTGTTTCCATTAGAGGAGGAAGCGAGGTTTTCTTGTAATTCATTCCCTTACCACTGCTATGACCTCTTCGTACTCATTTACGCGAATTATATTTTTTATCGTCGATTAATAATAAGAAAGCTAATATTTTTATTTGTTTCTATCTTTCTATGAAAAGGGACGAAAATTGGTCAGCACAGCACAAAATCATTTTTTGTATTTTTACTGATATGTGATAAGATAGGTATGTAATCTCACTTTAGACTATTGATGTTCTTAGAAATACCCTACAATATCTATGTTATTCAACTAAACCACTAAAGAGTGGAATTCTTTGCCCATCTACCCCGAAGGGTTATTTATAATCTAGGCGTCTTCAAGGCTCGAATGAATATGTTGCTTGTAAATAGACCTGCTCCGTCCTAGGCTTTATCATAGCTTACCACAAGATTTTTAAAACTAGTGAAAATATTTAAAAAAAACAAACGAAAATTTTACTCCTTGAGCTATTAACCTTTCAAGAGTCGTAATTTGAGACACATTATCGTGTACGAACGCCGGCGTGCGCTTGGGTTTTGACGATATAATATTCTCACGCTCTTGTTAGCAATGTGTCCTCACCTTTACACTCATCTAAATGCTTACCCACCGTTCAATATGAAAGCTTTTTACCTGAATGAGTTTTGAACTTAATTTGATATGTCATTAATGAATTTCGTTAGTCTTGGATTTGATAAATATAAAGCGCGTTACGTCACACGTACGCACCTATTTGGGAGGATTACCGGAGATTAAAATAATATTATCTAAATATAGGTACCTAACTGAACAAATATAATTGTCCTTGCTAAAAGTACCTTCTTATTTTTTGTGTGTTATGTTTTTGTTTCAACACAAACACATCTCATGTCGTTTTGATTCTGATTCTGATTGCAATATATATATATAATACGGTAGTTTCCAACTAGTCAAATTCAATACTTTTATCCAAATGTCAAAAACGATACTTTTCTATGAAATTAGTATGAAAAATTGAGTTATGACGTCATAGCATTTTTGCGTCAAATAGCTTACTTATTTCTTAATAATTAGCTACAAAATATCTGAAACTTAGTGTATCGGTCGATCGATGAATAAAAGTATAGTTATTTTACAATATTTTATCGTATTGAAACGTCGAATTAAATTATTTTTGACCTAGGTAACTACCCTATTAGATCTGATTATATCGATTATTTTTGGAAATAAAGAGGAATCGTGGTGTAACCCGTAAACACCAACTCCAAACAAGTTGTAACGACCCCATAAATAAAAAATATCAACAGTTTTTTTTATAAACAGCTTCTTGAATACCATTTGATAAGTATAACCCAACCCCTCCCCCCCAAATCCCCTATCCTCAAATTCCAACCTCAAAAAGACGGCAACTAACTTGCAACGTTTCATTTCATTATTCCGGGTGTTCATGGTTCTACATCAATTGCTTTTCATGCTGCTGGTCCGTTTGCTCATTTTCTGTCGTCTCCCTCTATACATTTAAGACTAGCTACCCTCGCACGGCTTCACCCGCTGCTCGGGTGCATTTGATCGTAGCTTGATGTTTTATATATATAGCACTCGGGAACATTGTAGCTATCTATCTGTGAAAGTAAGTTAGAATGTTGGCAATCCGACCAGCGGTTCCAAAGATTACCCCCTTCATACAAATCTACAAACTTACAAATTTTACTTTTTTTAAATATTACTATAGAAAATACGAGACATCTTCTAATAGATAAAAATAAAATTCTGTTTGTTAGTCTCACTAAATCTCGAGAACTACTGCACCGATTTGACTAATTTTGGTCTTGAAATATTTTTCGACGTCCGGGAAAGATTTAGGTTCAGAAGTCACAAAACTTTATTTCATTTTAAGGCGGAATGAAGTTTACCGGGTCAGCTAGTAAGTACCTGCTTTAGAAAAGCGACCTTTAACCAGGTGGGTAAATAAGTACCGGGACTTGACTGAAAGTTGAATCATACAGCTCAGCATATGTGGTCATACAAACTATATAAATACATAGCAAGTTAAATACAAGCCTGTAATAAAGGTACTGTTTGCTACAGAACATACAAGTTAAAACATTTACAGATGAAAAACTCACTGTTTGTTGTGCTATGCGCATATATATCATAAATATAGTAGGCATTTTATTTCTCTTTGTTATTTTAACGTATGCATCATGATTGGTAAGTTTCAGTTTATTGACGTTTTTAATTAAAACAATGGGTAGAACTGACGCCGCCGGTACCATCAAAATATCAACAAAATGTTAAGTGCTAAGTGAAGTTACATGGAAATATCATTCATTTTGTGTCGTCACTGAGCTTTTTTTAGGATCTTCAATATATTTTCAAAAAGAGGACTCGGACTCATCATCATCATCAGCCTTGTATCGTCCACTGCTGGACATAAACCTCCCCAATTGCATACCACTGAGCTTGATGTTCAGCTCTTCTCATCCAACCGCTGCCAGCCACCGTGCGGATGTCGCCAGTCCACCTAGCTGGAGCCGTGGTAGTCTAGTCTTGGACTCTAACTAACAAAATACCATCGCTTCCCTTCTCCTTCTCCACGCTAATGCCGCGGTACATTAATACACGTTCCCCGCAACCCCGACTGAGACTTCATCCTGCTGCCATCAGTTTAATAAAGACCATAGCTAGAGACATGAGAATACAAAAGACTACATATATAATTATTATTAGTCAAATTTCTAATTATTTGCTGAGTTTTTGTATGAAGTCGGTCGACAAACCAGCAGAAAGATTACGTGATAGTAAGCAATCGGCTCAGCCTATTGATTCCTGCATTACCTGGCCTTTTGGGGGTTAGGTCAAGTTTTTTTAAGAATTGGTGGATTTGGCGGTTGGATATGGGAGGGTTTGTGGAGGGAACCTCCAGTCAGCACACTGAAACAACGTAAGAGTTGTTTCACGCCGGTTTTCTATCTGGCCGTGATATCACTACCAAGTTCGAGCCTGCCCATTCATGCTCCCATACTTGAATTTATTGAAACAATATGTATGTGCAGATGTTCAATGTGATAGTAAGAATGTAAGTATGACAATTATTTCAATTTTGGTATAAAACAGCAATTTTGCATCCAAATTAAAAATAGGCGTTACTTGAAGTCGTGATGTCACACACGTAAAGGCAAAATTTTCTTTTTACAATTGAAGGCACTGCAGCACAGGAACTTAGATTTTTTTATGTCATTACCATATCCTTGTACCTATACTTTATTTACTAACTTATACATTAAAGAACGATGGAAATTCCTAGAAACATAAACCTATCAATGAAAAGTTTGAAAGAAACAGATACGTTGGCATCAGCAAAAAAAGCAACCAGGAAACAGCTCAATTTGTATTCTGGAGTGGTTCGACATAAATAACGAGTAAATTAATTTCGGCTCCGAACACGATATTGCTGACCACTGCAAGAGAAAACATTTCTTTTTTTACAATAATAGTGTGGTAGTAAGTCATTTTTGCTTCGGGTTTTTTTTTGTGAGGGGAAAATCATCAAATGACTTCTCCCGCCCAGGGCCGGGCAGGAGGGAGTGTCAGACTCTTACTGACTAAAAACCCCCCTGTTCCTTCTCCTGCTCTGTGCTGAGGTCGCGGTGCCTCATTGCGCTTACCCCGCAACCCCGGCTGAACATCAGCCCTTTTTGCTTCGGGTTTGGAACGAGCACATAGCTTCAATGACGAACAGACTGACAGGCTATTATTCTATTTCGACGTTTCAAAAATACCTATTAATGGCTTGATTGGAATAAATGATTTTGACTTTTATTCTAGGTATGATGTGTATGTGAAATTGTATGTTTGCTTAGGCATTCCTGACACAAGAGAAAATCCTTCATAGTGTAAATAAACATATATTTAAATACCTATAACATTTTTGTTTTAATACAAAGTGTCGAAGTAACATTCTTCATTTACATTGTAATACGAACTCTTTGATCAATTCACAAGACTCCTTGTTGGCCATTTGTAACGCAATTTATTGGCAATCCACTCACCCGTCGAAACAGAGAAGGAGCAAGAAGGTACATAGCACCTAACCTAATTTTACTACAAGTCTTGCAGTGTTCCTAACTGGTTTAGTATCAGCTCTCAGCCTAGACATAAGGAAATTCCCTACGAATTGAACTAGACTAATCCGGATCCTCGAAGTCGCAGATTAGTCTATAGATTTTGGCAGTATTCCTGTACTGTCTATCTAACGGTATGTCGTAGACTTGCTCGTACTAACGAGTCTTCTTAATCAGGATTGAGACATTCTGTTATCTTATTTGCCGCATGGTTTTGTAGAAACTGTAATTTCTTTAGATTTTGAACTTAATTGTTTTTATAAGCAATAATACCTATACTTAATGTACTAGCTACATCGTCGTCTAATGCGACCGTTTCCTGCGTCACTTTTTAAACCCTGTATCGTACTGTGTTATTGGGGATTTTGGGTTATAATATATAATGTTTTCTGTTATTTAGCACAAAGTCTGGGATTGTGGCCGTTATATCTATTCATTTCCTTGTAGAACTTGACTATAATAATTAAAATTAAAAAATAAATCACATTTAATAAATGTACTATGATTTATTAGATTTCTTTATCAATTGTGTCTCATTACTAATACAAACAGTCTTTGAACCAATTACACTAGACATTATTTGACTTTATACTTAAGGTAAATACATTACATATAAATAATAATACTCTGCTATGAAAATTTACTAGATTTTTATATATTCTTTATTCAAATATTTCAGGATTCTCTTGTACGAGCTTAGCATCGTTGGGGCAGTAAGTGATGATGTCTGCCACAGTACATGCCCTGTCACAGCACTGAGTCGCCACCTGTCTGCGCACGCGCCGCCATTGGCCCTCGTCAACTAATTGCAGTCTTGCTGTCTCTTTCTTTAAGTCTTTTGGTGCCATTTTCTCTGTGGAAGAAAATTTCTTATAAATTATATGATATGATTTAGAATATTAAGGTAAAGCCATAAAATATTTATTTTAAAAGTGATTCGAGATTCAAAACCGTAATAATTAGATATCTTCACAGCAATTTCATTCGACTCAACGAATGAAATTAATATTTGTCATCAGTAGGTATTTCAAGACCTTATTGTTATACTAATTTTGATATTAAAAAGCTTAGTAAGTACTTAGATTATTCTATTTAAGATCAAACAACGTATATTACCCAAAATATATTGAAAAAACCCGGGACTACCCAAAGTGAACCAAACAAAATGCTTACAGAATTTATTAACTTTCGTGTAAACTCGCAAAATAAAAATCGTTTTCACAACGATTTTACGATAAAGAGCCTAGTTTCAAGGAACGTGATTAATATAAGGGAAATTTCGTGGAAATAATAATTATTGAAGAACATTTAGCCCGATACACGTATCCCGTACGCTTTTTAATAAATTAATAATATAAAATCTCGCATTTTATATGTATATTTATTATAACAGCAATATTTTTAATGATAATATTATTAGTCTAAATTAACTAAATTATTATGCAAAACCCGAGGAACAAAAACAATCTCGCCGAGTCGTAGTAAAACCTTGCTGAATAGATCAATAGAAATCCTTACCTATCATAAGGGAAGTATCCCTCTTCACTATTTTGTATGTATTATTACAAATATTAAATATTATGTTAGATAGCCATCCGCTACAACTTAATACTGGGTCATTTAAGTTAAATATTCTAACTTGATCAGCATATACTGAATTTTCATTGTTAAAAAGAAGCAACACGATGTATACCTGAAACAAAGAAAATATAAATTAGAAAATTGAGATATTAGATAACGATTTGCTGTACAAAATCTTATAATTCCATGTTTTATAGCTACGCAAATCTTCTTAAGCCTCCGATAAAGTAAAAATGTTCTCTATATCTCAAATAAGAACTGAGTGATTTCAACAAAACTCTGATAGTATTTTTCCAAAAGAAGGTAAAATATATAGACACCTCACATAAATAAATCTATTTATCATTGCGAAGCCATCAATTACTTGAATGACCTCATAAAGGTGTACCGCAAGGCAGCATTTTCGGTCCCTTACGAAATAATTATATGTCTGTCCTGAGACAATGCTTACTTAATACCAATATTACCAATATTTATGACTCAAATAAACAATAACAGGATTACAATAATTGTCAATATTATATTAATAATTATGAGAGCAGACAGTGTAATTAATATTACAATAACAATTTGCAGATAAGTTTAAAAATAAACAAATACTTTTATTCAATTATTTGTTGCGAGAAAGCAGTGGAAATACACGGACCTTTGATTAATGGTGTAAACAACTCTTTTTAATATTAAAGAGTCAATGTCTCATACTAAGAAAGGAAAATTTTTAGTCTTTGCATTTTTTATATATAAGTAGATAAAATAAGTCTCGAATTTATTCAAAGGACTTTCAGGTGATATTTCATTGAGCTTACATACACTTATACAAAATTGAACTAAAACAAATTAGGACCACGCGACAGAACTACCATTTCACTGTATACGAGTAGATGGTTGGCAACCAACAACTGTGCGTTTTCCGCAAAAATTTAGTTTAGTACAAAACTGTGGAATTGTCTGTCGTCATTCATACATCATCAGCCTATAAGTGTTCACTGCTGAGCAAAGACCTCTTCTCATACGGAGAAGTTTTGTGCATTTATCACCACGCTTGCTTTAAGCGGATTGACGCTTTCAAACTTATGTTTATAAATAAATAGTCCAGATTTCCTTACGATTTTTCCTTCGCCGTAAGTTATTGGGGTTAAAAATTGATGTTAAAACAGCCATCTTTAAGAAAATAGAGTACTCCTTTTACAAAGACTGGCAACGTATTTATGACTTCTCTGGTGTAACGGGTGGACATGAGCGATGTCGACTGCTTACCATCAGATTTACCTTTTATTTTATAGAAAAATATTGCCTAAGAACTAATATTTTATTAGATATTGGGACCTGTGGATCACTTAAAATAATATCCAAGCCATGTAATAAATAAGTTATTAGGGCCGATATTAAAATGCATTTTCGGTATTCTAATCATGATCAAATCTAACATATATATTCAGATATTGACTAACTGTAAATGTTAAACTTCTGTAAATAGCTAATTTCGGAATTTTGAAATACGTACGTTTCAAATATGTTTACCAAATTATTTATTTAGGTAGGTTAGATAATACAATAAAGTCAAAACGAATAATATTACATATCCAAATTTTCTCATAAAATAAAAGAAAAATAAAGAATATAAATATTTCAGTACAATATAAATAACATTCTATATTTTCTAATTGAAAATAATGGCTTAGTATTTTGAGGAAGCTTTACGTATTAATTATTCATCTATTATACAAAAACGTTTCAGTAAGTATTTAAAATTAATATTTAAATGAAATAATAAATAAAATAAAATAAAAATTGTTGACTTAAAACTTATACGAGTAACAACATGAACTGTGACCAAAAATATACAAAATATAAAGTCAAAAATAACAAAAAAAAATTGACTACATACGGAATATTTCAAATTCATCCTTGCTTGAAATAAAATCACAGGCACTGCACTATTGTTTGCTCGCACACTGTAACCTGTTGAATGGGACCGTCACAACATTGCAGCTCTAAAAATAGCCCCCGCTGGTCCATAGTACGGAATTACTTAAAACTTATTTACTTAGATAAAAGCGTTTACAAAACATTGTCATGGCAATAAGATAACAGATTCCTCTAAACAACACGTGATTACGAGGGTTAAATAGTCACCGGGATTGATAGGGAATCGAAAGTTTTATTGTTATTATTTTTTTACGATATGTATTTTGGATTTGGTCTACAATTTGTAAAAAATATTGGGTCTTAATTTTGGGTAAAGCGCGCAGCTGAATTAACTGGTAAGCAATCGGCGCCACCCACGGAGACTCGTAACATCGGAGTGCGTTGCTAACTTTTGGGGATAAGGGATTTTGGGATTGGGGAAAGGGGAAGGATAGGGCCTAACGGTAACCTCACTCACGCCTCGAAACAACGTCACTGTTATTTCACACCGGTATTCCTTGAGGCCGTCGTATCACTCAGGTCGAGCAGGCCCATTTGTGCCTAAGCATGGCTCTCCCACAGTGAATGACGTACAATAAATATCGCACGTCGACGTTGGAAAGAGCCAATTTTAAATACCTAATGTAACTAGCGTTCATTTGTAGTTTTTTTTATTTGTTTATCATTTTATAATTCGAGGAGAATGCTTGATTAGTATAAGCAGCTTATAATCATTGCGAGGGGTCTTGATTAGTATAAGCAGCTTATAATCATGAGCCAGATACGAGGCGTTTTGGCCGATTATGTCTTTTTAAAATTCGCCGTGTAATATTTATTGCTCTTTATTGTATTTACATCCACACAAACACACATTTATAATATTATGAGTAGGACTTTACGACTACTCCATTGGATTAGTGGCTGAGCAACCGTTGCTACGCAAAAACCTATTGCAAGTTGGAGAGTAAACTATATGTAGGTATACTTAATGATTACTAGTGAATAACTTTTGGTTAGCGCGTGGTTGGGCAACTTGCTGCAACGCAACGTGTCGCGGGTTCGGTTCCAGCACGGAACAACAGTTTGTGTGATAAAGAAATAGTTGTTTCGACGATTCTGGGTGTCATGTGCATCTGAAACTGTGTGTTTGTAAACGCATCCACAAAATAGGAGAAAATCCTTAGGCTGGGAAAAGTTTTTCTGAAAAAAAAAAAAATATTTTGTTGTTGTTAGAATATCATTATTTTGTTATTACATTATTTTATATCTCTAAATTTAGCTTTATTTTTGGAATAGGAGACAAACGAACAGACGGATGACCCGGTGGTAAGTAAAATACTAAAACTATCAATATATGCTTTATTTTAGGTGCTTTAATAGGTTTATTAGTGGAAGCCATTCATCATAGCTAATACATGGTTATTGTTTAAAAACTTTGTCTTCTATATAATTGACATGAATGTGCAATTATGGTTATTTTTATATAAATATCCTTCACATTTAGGTTTATGTCACATTTTATCCACATTTTATTCAATTAAAAACGAAAACAATAAAAGTTCTATTTTTAAATTTCTGTTATTCCTCGAAAAAAAAAACCCGAAACAAACAGATAACGATTCGTGTGGACAGTATTTTATTTTTGTCAATATTTAATAATAATTAAATTCATACCATATTGTGATCTCTTTGGTAACAGCGTGCGTCTGAAAATGAGAATGCCAAATTATTTTTATTTATATTACTATGATAATGAGAATGTTTTAAAAATCTATGTGTATTTATGAATATAGAAGAAACAGATTGTTACACTTTTGATAGGTATATATTCCGATAAAAGCTGCTGAACTTGGCTGAAAATTAGTGTAGAGCTTGTGACTAGCAGACGGACAGAAGATACATATGTTTGTCTCTTTCTGAGATAAGGGTTGCATCTTACCCCCAAAAGGGGTTGGAGATTTTAATAAAATATTACACAATTTTCAAAACAGAAAACTAAAAGTTGATGCGTTGACTATTTGTGAATAACAAAATATCGCGCGTATTTTTTCCAAATTTTTCTTCCCCTACTGCTCACAGTTAAGGCTAGGTAAAAGGGAAGGTGAAATTAAATATCTGAACCCTTGGCAGAGGGCTAATAATCGAAATACAAACTTTTTGTTTCCAACAACGAATAAATAATATCCCAACCCTTAAAATGCAGGTTGCGGGCCAAAGGGGTGGTGGGTCAAGCGGAATAATGTTCCGCGGCCTCGGCCTGACGCACAAGAAAGGTTGTTTTGAATCAGTAACAGTGATAGCACTCCTTCTCACCCTAACCAAAGCTGAAGAAGATATTAATTGATGATTTTAGTCGCCAAAAAACTAAAACTTGCATAAATCATTGCAATTGAAAAGAATTGTACTATTATCCAAATATACTACACATAATAGCGGGATCGAAATCTGGCAGGTACCAATGTGACTTTTTCCGAGTTATATGTACTTTCTACGATTGTTTAGACCCCACTGACATAATATGGCGAAGGCAAATATAATGAGAAAACCTAAACTTATTAATTATCAGTTTAACATCGCCAATCCACCTTGAGCTTGGTATTTTCTCCATGTGAGAAGAGGCCTTTGCTCAGCAATGGGCACTTATAGGCTATACAGAGAAAAGATGGATTAACGAATAAAAATTTAGATATTTAATTATAGCTAGCTACTTAGAGTCCAGAATTTCTCACAATATTTTCAATCCGTTAAAAACGACTTTAAAGAACATTAAACTGATTCTAGTTATCCAACCTAAAGTTTTGATTAACAACCATAATTATTTGCATTTTTTATGCTTATAATTCGAATAATATTTTTGTCGACCATTAATATCTTTTTCTTCAAATACATTATTTTGGCTAGAGGTTACCCGTGGAGGTGGGCGTTCGACCGCACAATGACCGCAAAGAAATATAATGTTACAAGAAAGTTTTACCTTCTTATTGATCTAAAGTATCTGTATCTATATTTACATTGAGAGACACACTGAGAAACAGAATTATTAGATTTGTTAGTACAAATTACATTTTCAAGCTAACTATGGCCCAATCCCTTCCCTTCCCCCGTCCCTTCCCAATCCTTAAACATCCGGAACTCCTATCCCTAAGGAGCCGGCAACATACTCGTACCTAACTCATTCGGTGTTGCAGATGTCAAATTCCGATTGCTTACTATCAGGTAATCCGTAATCGTGGTGGCCCGGAGGTTAAGGAGCCCGCTTCTCATGCATGAGGTATGGGTTCGAAACCTGGCAAGTACCAATGTAACTTTTTCCGAATTATATGTACTTTCCATGATTATTTAGACAACACTGACATACGGTGAAGGTAAATATCGTGAGGAAATCTGGACTTTTTCTTCTTCCTGCATTGAACAAGCGTGGTGATTAAAGCTTAAAGCTTCTCGGTGTGAGAAGAGGCCTTTGCTCAGCAGTGGGCACTTATAGGCTGATGATGATGATGAGGTAATCCGTTTGGTCTTTTGCCGACCTATGCCACAAAATACCTTTTATTAAATACTTTCCTACTTATTACGGAACAAGTTCTGTACTAGATACTACTCTCTACTCTTTGAGCTATACTTACTCTCTTCAATATCCGATATACTTACTTTCTTTGATATCCGTCCCCTCAATTCCGCTGACTACGCTTTCTACCCCTAGAACGTTTATCACTCACCAATATTTGTACTAACGGATACAATGTTATTTCTGTCTCTGAATTCTAGAGACCTTATCTCAGTAAATTCATCGTGCACATAGCAACAGCTCCGAACAGATACGGGCAGGAAGTAAGCGGTACACATATTAACTAAAAATAAAGAGCCGGGGTCACAGATCACTATTTACTCACAACTCTGGCCATATCTACCTATCTATTATGTTTATATTGTTTGTATATGTCCCACATACACAAGGATACTGGTCCACTCGCTTGCTTTTGCTTGTGTACTTCGTTTGGTTTATTTGTTTTTGGAATATATTTTAGTTGTGAATTTTGGCGCGGTTGCGGTGGCGCTAGCGTCGTCTTGGAGCAGGTGAAGTGACGGAGTGGTTCTTGATCAGAGAGAGACTGACACTGCCTCTCGCCTTCCCAGAGCGGCAGAAGTCAGAGAGAAGATTTTCCCTCCATTAAAAAGGGTTAAATTTTGTCAATTTCTATTTGTACCTGTATCTATTTGACTTTTTTATGTAAGACACAAAACTTGTCAAATAGGCTATTTAAAAGATGTACTCACTGCGTTTGAGTTTGTGTTGGCAATAATGGATACGCAGATAAACAGAATCCTACCTACTTATCTCTTCAGAAAAATGTGGTTGGCATTACAGAAAATCGACTTAAGATATAAAATATATCAAGCATAATACCTATTAACTAGACCATCATATGATCATATCTAACGACACGCAAAATGTAGGTAACAAAATTATACTCACAATATTAGTTCTTTTATTTCACAAAACCATAGGTATAGAGCATAGATAATAGCATTGCCTTTTTGCCAATTTCTAACATTTCCACAAACAATCCCAATGCAACAAACACACACTATTTATTTATCAATAATTAGTAAATTGACTAACCTTAATTTGTTGTTGTTGTTGCTTTGTTGATAACAAGTAAGACATCCCCAGCAAACGACGTCTGATAACATGACATAAACAACTTACAATCGCTTGCGCCGGCAGCGCGCGCGCCGACATGATAAATGAATAAATTAAGGATCGACTGACATACTTCTCTTAACAAATTATTATTCTCAGCGCCACCCGATCTGCCGTGACCCTAATGATAAAGCCGGTATTGACTCATTTGCGAAACATCCTTGTTGTTTTTTATAAAATTATCGCTGCTACAATTAATTAATTATGTCACGATTTCATGAAGTTGTTCTTTTTTATATTATAGGCAAACCAGCTTCTTAATCCCTGATGTTAAGCAATCAACGTTGCCTATTGACACTCGCAACAATGAGTGTGTTGCCGACCTTTTGGAGATTAAGTATTTGGAGATTTTAGGATTGGCAACGGAAGCTGGGCCTCCGGTAACCTCACTAACACGTTGAAGCACAATGCTGTGATAAACAGGTGTTCTGTGAGGCCGTGGTATCACTCCAGTCGAGCCAACCCATTCGTGTCGAAGCATGGCTCTCGCACACAGTTCGTCGTTCGTTCTTCAGTTAGTATTAGTGTCCCCTAACGAATTTTGGTCTAAGTTGACACTGATCTGTCTTATTCTAGACTAGCTTATACCGAGAATATTATAGTGCACAGCTGCAGGTATTTCCTCTGTTCCCACGCGCTTACAATAATCCGAAGAAATAAGTAATTAATTATTTTTTGTTACAAAAATCTATCAGCGTGTTTTTTCATACAGTTATTTTTTCGGTATGTCTACAGTAGTATCGTGAATGCTTAGCTGTTGTACTTGAAACTTACGAAAAAAAATACCTTAAGAGAAGTTTTTATCAAACTCAAGTAGGTACTTTATTTGAATGATTTAGTTTTACTTTTTAAACAGTATATTACGGTCAGCTGTTAAAGAATAAACATATATTTAATGCTATTTTATTATATGGAGTATCAATTAAGACTAATATCCTCTGCAAACGAGTTAGCGCCCTATATACTAACGAAGCAATGTTTTTATCTAAGAAGATAACTAGTATTTTCTGGTTAAAAGCCCTTTTTATAAGTGACGCTTTGTCGGATTGTATTTTCTAGTATTGTCGATATCAGCTTGTGAAAACTATTCTACTTGAAGACTTAAACTCGTTCTCATACGGTCTTCCCAGAAACAAGGCTATTCCAAGTAATAATCTTTCAATTAAATGTTTTCCTACAGAAAAATCTAGAAGTATTTTTGCTTTGTTCTTTTGTTTATTATTATCTTTATATATCTTTGAACTAGGTATATTGTCCTCTTCAGTTTCGATGCACAATACTAATCAAATCAAATCAGTGAAAGATATTTTGTGAACAGTAGAATTAATTGTTTGACTAGAATCGCGAAAGCGTTTGATCACTAGCTCCACAAAAGAGGTTAAAGCATTCAGAAGTTTTATATAAATGTATTTTGTTACACCAATACTATGATTACAATGATAATAATAATAAAGCAAGTCTAATTAAGTATTTTACAATAACATTATCAAAAAAAATAATCGCACTTTCATTGTTTTTTTATAATATCATTGTTTGTTTATTTTCGTATTTTATTTGCCTATTTTTTATGTTATAAGTACGTAGATAATGTTAGCCGGGGTTGCGGGTTAAGCGCAATGGGTCACCGCACCGCACAAACAATTTTACAACGAATTCATAGAAAAACATAGGTTTTGACTATTTTATAACTAAGGAATTTGAGTAGTTGTACTCCCTTCACTGCCTAACGTATTTTGGGAAACATGCGAAATATAATATGCAATAAACGTTCAGACTGCAAGTTTTGTGAATAAAAACTATAAGAATGGAAAACACCAGCCATTTCTTGATTGTAGACAATATTGTTTCTATATTCTTTTTCTGTTTCTACGCGAAGGAGTTTTAATTTATTCCGCTTGTATCCGTTGGCTTATTTCTCTTATTTTCCTACTACTATTTACCAATAACTGTGGTAGATTTGAAAACTTCAGCTGATTCCATTGCATTGTTATACATTAAAGGGTTTTTCTCATATAATTTTTTTTTCTTTCTTTCTTTCTTTTCTTTCTAAATAACAATACCAATGTAATGATACCACTGAAATAGTTTAGTGACGGAATTGAAAGGACGATGATAGAAACTTGGATTACTTGCTGTTGATCATACATTATTGAGGCTGAATATACATGAACCGTCGCCGTGTTTTATTTTGCAATTCTCAGTATCAGAATGTAATGTAATGCTATATATTATGGTAAATTACTATCGATTGAACTGAAATTGGTTTTTTATGGTATATGCAAACGAGCAGCCGGATCATTTGATGGCAAGCAATTGGCTTCGACCGACGAGACCCGTAACTTTAAGGAGAAACAACATATGTATTTTTAACCGACTTCCAAAAAAAGGAGGAGGTTCTCAATTCGAATTCTTTTTTATGTTTGTTCGCCGATATCTCCGTTATTTATGAACCGATTTGGATAATTCTTTTTTTATTGGAAAGGATATAGTCCCAAAATGGTCCCATGATAAGGAAATCAGGATCTGATGATGGAAGACCAGAGAAATAGAGGGGAACTTTCAAAAATTGTAGGGGCGAGTGGTGCTTTTGCATATGGTTTTAGTAGGCTTTTGACAAATTTACAACTTGCCGATGTTCGAACCCGACCTGATGATGGAGCCGGAAGACACTCGAGGGATCTCCTTGATTATTTGGAGTAGTTGCCTTGTGTTTATGTATAATGAAGGTCTGCAGTATACCTGATAATGGAGGTCATTGACATTCGCGGGAATTCCTCAACGATTTACGGCACTGAAAGCTGACTAACTCAGGACTGCCATTACCGTGATTTTCGGTCTCAAGTAGCCGTCGTCTTCTCATTTAAGAAGCATCCTAGCTTTCTCTGCCTATCACTTAAAATGGTGAAATAAAATAATTTTTAACAAAAAAAAAACGACTTCAAAAGTAAACTAAAAAGCAAAAAAACAAAAATTTACTTTGTTCAAAGTAATACACACTTTAATTTAGTTAAATAGAAAACAATATTTAATAACTATTTTATAATTTTGAAGTCGGTGCCAAGTAAATGCTATATACCAAACAACAACAGTATTAGAAAAATATATTGATCGGTACCTACTAATCATCAAATTAGCAAGAGGTATGTAAGTAATATCTTTACACTGTTATATTTTGTATTATTTTGTTTGTATTGAACTGAAATGGGTTTTTTATGATATATGCAAACGAGCAGCAGGGATCACTTGATGGCAAGCAATTGGCCTCGACCGACGAGACCCGTAACTTTAAGGAGAAACAACATATGCATTTTATATTAACATATTTATATGATATCGATTTAGCAATTGGGGTTAGGAGACAGACCTCCGTTAACATCACAACATAACGTAAGTGTTGTTTCCCGCCGGTGTAACTCCAGTCGAGAACAAATGGGCCCTGCCTCGTGCCAAAGTAAGGCTCTGAAAAAATTTACTCAAATCTGGAATCACGCTATTTTCTTGGTGTTATCATAATAAGGGAATTTGTTAAAAATTATACTTTTCACGCACATGCAACTTACACCCTTTATCACTCTAAAATAGTCTAAAACATTTTTTACTTAATTCTAATTTGTTACCTAATTCTAACTAATAGATAGCCAATAATGAAATCAGTCACGAGCACACATCAAAGTTATTCGTCTTCATATCATTTTCAACTTTTACAATATTGTATCGAAGATCTTAGCTACTATTAATGTTTGGTCGTGTGCAACATCGCTAGTTCGCTGCTAATCCCGTATTTTCGTCACCAGTCCGACTTGCAAGTTCCTAGTGATTAATGCGAAATGTCACGAGGTACTCTCGTACCGTCTCGGACGATTAACTTAAGCGACGAGTATCCACGCTTGAAAGTGATGTCATCATCCCTTCGGCTAATCGTATTCAGTAGTTTTTGGCACGTCCTGACTAAGTTTATGTTAAAATTGGCCTCGTTTTTATTTGTACGTAGGTAGTTAAACTTAGTAGTTAGGCTCTCAGTAGCTTGAAACCAGTTTGATTGAACATCTTTTTTTTTTCTTCAACATCATCGGTTTGTTGGTAATCCCCTATATTTAAATGTATTAACAATATATCTCACATGGATAGAAATGAAAAACAATGGATACACGACAAGGTTTGAGCTGTTAGGTAGTAGAGAACTATAAAACTTACATAACCTTAACCACCACAATAGATTTTTATCCACGGAACTTGGCAGAAGGTCACAGCACATGGTGTCCCATCATATAAGTAGGGGGTGAAACCTATTGACTTATTATGTTAAGCACAAATATTCCAGGCTTTTCTACGGTCTACTTCTACTGCTTCTACAATTTTACTTGTGCTGGTAGACCTGGTTAAGTTTAGTTGATAGGAGTAACCTAATTGCCTGGTGAAAATTTAATCAACACCTTTCATTAAGTTCATAACAATAATCACAATCAGGTTATAATTATGTGTACACAATAAGTTATTTTATTTCACAAATTCTTAATAAAAATCTGTGTTTGTATTTCTGCTAGGTATATGTTAATGTAATATTACAAACTGCCCCCTGCCTTGCAAGGATGTCCAACCCAGTAATTTTTTTTTTTTGTTATTGAACCGCCATGCCATCGATAAAGTTGCTGTTACTTGATTTTCCTACTAATCTACATCTAAGGGAGATTGAATAGAATGGAATGGATTTATATATTTACTTATAAGAATGAAAGTTATTAATACAATTAGGTGGTGTAAACAATAATTTTGATTCTTATTCATTCGACTTCAGAGTTAGTTTTGGTTACTTGAAGGCAATAACTAAATTTAACTGTCATTAAAAAATCGTGGCACCGAGGTTAAGGAACCCGCTTCTCACGCATGAGAGTGTAGGTTCGAAACCTGGCAAGTACCAATATGATTTTTTCCGAAGTTATACGTACTTTCTATGATAATTTAGACACCACTGACATACGGTGAAGGTAAACATCGTGAGGAAACCTGGACTTATAATTTCTAATTATAAGTTTGAAATCGCCAACCCGCATTAGCAAGCGTGGTGATTAATGCTCAAAACCTTTCTCTGTGTGAGAAGAGGCCTTTGCTCAGCATTGGGCACTTATAGGCTGATGATGATGAAAAAATCGTTTACAGCGTCATATTATTTTGAAAGTAGCAATTTCTTTAGTTATTAGATCATTTCTATTATTTGTATATACTCATCAGATTATATCGAACTGCTTTGTCGATTTGCTTCTTTTTCGCAATTTATACCTATTTCATTTTAAGAGTCTGACACTCCTTCTTGCAACCTGGGTGAAAGAAGTGACTTGATGACTTTTCTCCACAAAAAAAATCTTCCAAATATTTTTTTCTACAATTAGTTAAGATATAAAAAGGACTTCGTATGGTATGGTATATTACAGTATGGTTAAACGCCATAGCTTGTGTTAATGTCAAAAGCATGTTTTTGTTTTTCTGAAAACTCAGAGATAGCGAGGTCGTGGTTTCGACCCGAACCCCGTGTAAGCGAACTCATTGTACCCACATTACCCAGCGTAACTAGAAGTATCCCACATATATAGGATATATATATGTATATAGCTTATAACATAGCACCTACTCTTGTACCCCTTGACAGAGTAAAAAGTCGGCAATCGAGCCGATGGATCATCTGGTAAGCAATAAGCACCGCCCGTGGACATGTCTACAGCACCATTCATATTTATATTATAGAATATACAACAAAATGTATACATACTGCGACGGTAAAGTGCTAATACTTCATAACAGATCATTTTCTAGAGATTCACAAATTAAAACTTTGTTGGGAAAGCCACCTAAACCAGGTATTGGACTGGACATACCATAAAATAATGCAGTTGTAATAAAAATACACATAGGGACACTGCTAAAACATACGAATATTATACATAATTATAATCTAGAAATGTGATTTAGGGGATTTTGGTACTTCACCGTATTTATCTATATATCTTCTTCTTATATATAAAAATGGATCGCAAAATGTGTTGGTAAGCGCATAACTCAATAACGCGTGGACCAATTTTGCTAATTCTTTTTTTGTTACGTTCGTTATTGTGAGGAGAAGGTTTTTACGAGAGAAAACTTTAGAAAAGTAAAGTTCCCGTGCGTTATAAAATCAATGCCACTTTTCGTTGTAATGTTATAACTCAACAATTCTTTTACCGATTTGGCAAATTTTGGTCTTGAATTATTCGTGCAAATCCAGAAAAGGTTTGTACGTAGAAAATAAAAAAAAAACATCTTGAGAAAGCGTAAAATCGTCATCCACGCGGGAGGAGCCGCGAGCGACCGTTAGTAATTCTCATATACATAATGTGATAATGTGAAAAAGCAACAGTTAACGAGCCCTATTTGATGGACCGAATTTTACCGTCGAAAATTTACAGATACTTGTTAAACTAGACAATAAGCTATTTTAACAAACTAACTTGCCCTAACTAACAAATCCAACTACCCATAATTCTAGTGATTTGCGAATTGAAAATCCAGCATTAGCTAGAATCGTAAATTTAGATATCTTAATTAATTAAATTTACGTGGAAATTAAGCAAATCTGAATGCTTTGAAATCAGGCGTGACGGCCAGTTCGAAATTAAATTAGATACTGGATAGATTATGCTAACAACAGCACGATGATTATGAATGTTTTCTCCGGGAATATTTATTTATATAGATCCTGGTGGCCCGGAGGTTAAGGAGCCCGCTGGTGTGGGTTTAAAACCTGGCAAGTACCAATGTTACTTTTTCCGAGTTATATGTACTTTCTATGATTATTTAGACACCACTGACATACGGCGAAGGTAAACATCGTGAGGAAACTTGGACTTATAATTTCTAATTATAAGTTTGAAATCGCCAACCCGCATTGAGCAAGCGTGGTGATTAATGCTCTAACCTTCTCCGTTTGAGATGAGGCCTTTGCCCAGCAGTGGGCACTTATAGGCCGATGATGATTTATATTCGCTCTTTGTCTGGACCTTAGGAGACTTTTATGGGGGGGGGGATAATCAAATGTCTTCTCTCACCCTAGGCGTGGCGAGGGAGATCGAGAGATGATATCCGGCCACCGTAAGCACGGGTCTGCGGTCGGCGAGTAAGGGTAGCTCCCCGCCCGACCAGAACCAGACCCGAGCGGTGCGTACGGCGCGTAGCGTTCCGCGCGCGCATCAAAGAGCCAATAGACCACCACAGACGGGGCCCTATATGGCTGATGTTCAGCCGAGGTGGAGGGTTAAGCGCAATGTGTCACCGCGGCCTCGGCCCAGAGCAGGAGAACTAACGGGGGGTTTTTAGTCAGTAAGAGTCTGACACTCTCTCTTGCCTAACCCTGGGCGGGAGAAGTCATTAGATGATTATTCCCTGACAAAAAGGTACACTTGTGCGCTTGTAACTCGCAACCACGACTGAACATTTGTTGTAGTGTAGCTGAATTGCATCCCATCTATGGGACTTACCCTTTTTCTTTTAATCTATTTATCGTTAACAGCGTGGGTAATCGCAAGGCATATTTTTTTGAGCAAATACTACTGTGTAAAATATTATTAGACTTATAAAGCTACTTATTATTTGTGGTATCTATAAAATTTGTTTGTTTATTAATTAAGTGTAATGTTAATTTTTAATGTTAATAATGTCTGCCTTTTACATTGATTCGTGTTTAGTTTCATAATCCGATCCGCTAAGGAGGGAGTGGAATTCTTTGCCGGAGTCTGTAAATCCCGAAAGGTACCTGGGAATCTTCAGGGCTTGGGTGAATAAGTTGCTGATGGGTAGGCATGCTCTAATTTAGGTCGCATCACCGCTTACCACCAGGCGAGATAGTGGCAAAATGTCTGCCCATCCAAACTAATATTATAAATGGGAAAGTAACTCCGTCTGTCTGTCTGTCTGTTTTTTCTTCACGCCTAAATTACTGAATCTATTACTGTGAAATACTGTGAAAAGGACAGGATAGTTTTAATGCCAAAAATCTTCAGGAAGTCACTTTTCCACGAGAACGAAGTCGCGGGCAAAAGCGAGTTACGATATAAAAAGAGAAAAGATTCAAAACATCAGCCACATATTTTTCTCTAGGTATACCTATATAGGAAACAGGTACTTAGGAACACGAGGTTTGCTACCTAGAAACCTTGTAAGACCCGTAAACTTGAAGTACTTAGGTATCGTGAACTGTATCGTAATCCCAACGAAAACCTGTGTACCTACGTGTTACCTATATTGCCAAAGTTCGATACAACGTCTAAAAGGTGTCACATAATATCGAAGAAAGCGGTGTACTTACTTTCCCAAATATATTTTGCTACATCTTCCACATACATATCTAGGATTTTGTTTCAGTGATTCCATAAAAATGGTTTCTTTTCGTCTTCGTCTCTTAGAAGCTATCAATTCAAATAATTATCAGGTATAACTGTTTCAACGAGCAACCAGCGAAACGAATCCAAAAGTGAATTTGACTGTAGGGTGCGAGAATTCAATAACTTTATCGAGTTATTTTTTAATTATTATCAGCTTTCTAGTGTTTCTTTTTTATATTTTAATGTCGGTTATCATTTTTTTTTAAACAGGAGATTTAAGTGGTAGCTGCGAAAATAGAATTCAAATATCGGCCCTTGTCTATTATGTTTCACTTTACAGATGAAATTCCTTTTCCCTCAAAAAAGTAATAAAAAAGTTATTTTTAACTTACATTTTACTAGCAATATTTGAACCTATAACTCTACTTTTACTGTCAAGCTCCAAAAAATATAAATAGAAGCTCGTAAAAAATATTCTTTTTTCACTAACTTGACAATGTTACTCGTCGAATTTTTTTATTTTAAGTTAGTGCTTTTCAAAGACCTCTCACGTCGGACTTTGATTGACGATTTCAACGAAATGAATAACAATACCTAGTTCCATTCGGTCTGTTTCATTTCAATGACCTGTTTCGTTTTTCATTTACGACGCTCGTGTTGCGAGCACGTCGGCTTTCCATTGTTCAAGTTCGAATTTTAAAATAATGTTATTTATTTTTAAAACTAACTGTTTTTCAATTTCGTTTCCAAATGTGTTTTTAAATAAACCTCAAACATCATCCTGTAGGTATATAACCTATATAAATACAGCTACATATATTGTTTTTACGTTTTTCTTAACAATGTCTAAAAGTTTGATTTTATATTTGACTGTATATTTAAGCTTTTTTCGTATTAATCTCCATTA